GCTGTATTGTGCAGTTGCATTAAAAATAAAAATCCAAGTGAACAGGAAATAGAAAATATATTTTAGCTTAAAGGTTTCCTACGGGTCATAGAAAGAATCAAATGACACAAGTACCTACAAGTCAATTGATTATCTGTGGAAATAATCTAAAGAACAATAGATAGTTCTTCCTCACCCACAACAGTGCAAATGCAGAGGTAATTGTCAAGTTTTATCTCAAAAAAATTGTGGGCATTTCGGTAAAATAATTCATTTTTATAAGATAATAACAAAGTGCACCAAAAAGATACACCTGTTCGGTGTCAACAGTTTGCACAGTTCAATGGCAGTTTCCCAAAATCAAAAGTATAATACCATCAAACTATGTTGAACTATTTAGCAAACAAAATAAGGAACCAAAATGAAAATAATAGTGTCGGTAAGATCTACTGTTTCCCAGATAGATTACAAATATACATATATTTTTTCATTATTTCCCTAAATTCACAAGACTTTAATTTAAATATATTAAAAGTTTTCACCGCCGATGTTCTTATTAACTTCATTTAATTTTACTTGGACTTGATCAACCGTTGGAGTTATTTAAAATGTGTTATTGCTTTTTATCACCCTGTAACTTTTATACTAAGCGTTTTTGGACAAATGTTCGTAGGAAACTCTGCTTTTTGTATTCTCTCTTATCCCCTGTTCCAGTTTTTCACCAAATTTTAGAAACACCCTGTATAATACATTAACTTGTTACTGATACCCCGCCAAATTAACTTTTATTCCAACAAAGTTATAAAGTATACTAATCACCCAAATCATAAAGATAAAAATGAGGTTAATCGAACCACGCTTGTTGATATTGATATATAATGGAGTTCAAAAATGATGTAATAAAATCTACACAGATAGCAACCATATTTTAATCTCAGTTTTTTTTTATAATTTCGTTACTTACCGTTAAAAATACATACTAATATAAATCATTGAATCAATTACATTGAATAAATCATAAAACTACTAAATTTTGAATACCTTAGTTGTTACGATTTTAATTGATATATCGTAAATTCTGTTTCTGTAAATTCTGATAATATTTGTTGCAGGGCTAAATGAATGTTCAGTTAACAATTTTTTCATAAAGAAGTTTTTCTTTAACAAGTTATTCTCGATCTACTTGAATGTATCTCATTTCTACATTCATATTGCAGATTTTATAAACCAATGATAAAGAAGACTCATAATAGTCTATGCAACTAATTAACATTTTTTCTTTTGATTGTAAGTTATTCAGCTATATCTAGGAGATGATAAAAGAGATACATAATATTCAGTATCAATATCTCGATATATGTATTAGTATATAATTTCCTAGTATGTATAAACTTTAAGTACCTTTTAATTTTGTTTATTGTTCGTTATTACTACATTTTTCAATTTAAGTTATGGTATTGAGCTTTTTTAATGGTATAAATGGTTCAAAATACAAAAATACTAATTAAAGAGAATCTTTTTATTTGAATAATTGCCCTTTCTCTTTTTATTGTCAGACATCTTTATAATAAACAGAAATATTTTCGTAATCTTTAGAAAAGTTCGACAAAGATAAATCATAAATATCTAGACATTATCATTTCGAATGTGCGATAATAACCGACGCAAATTTTGTATTTTATCGGCAGTGGTGGTATCGGTGTTGTGTTGGTGAATAGTGCATTTTACGTTTTACATTACAATGTGAATTAACTTTTCATTACAATGAAGTAAACCGTTTCACAGAACAAGTTCTTATTATTTGTATGAAGCTTGGAAGTGCTAAAAATTAGATTAATATCTTTTATATCACTATATTTGAATGAAGAAGTTACTAAATCTTCCGGTACAGTGTCTGGCATTTCGTTCTATTGCCCATTTCTTTCTTCTACATCTACAGTGAACCGTATTTGATTTGACGCTAGTGCTCCTTAGAGGTCTCAACAGGTTTTAAATATATCGTATGTTCCGAATGCATTGTCCGGCAATGATGGCTTGGTTATTATGAAAGAAATGCTTATCTGTTACAAAAAATTTGTAACATTTCATGACGATTTAAAAAATCTTTTGTAATTTTTTTCTAATTAATTTCGAGAACTTCCCAGTGATTATAGAAATACCGAAACATGTATTGTAGTGTAACTTCTGGAGGTTTCTTATTTTCTTTTAAATATATTTTAATGTTTTGGAAGTCATTTTTACAGAAAAATGATAAAATAACGTAGCTTACTTGCAAAAATTATTGTTTCTTTCAGGTTCACCAAATTTTAATGGTTTCATCCATAATATACGGGATGTAACCAAGTGGAAAAATAGTTTTGTAAGTAATTGCTTGGATCATTTTATGAAGGAAAGTTCGTATAAATCTAGGTTCTAAACAGCTTAGTTTTCTTGATAAAGTATGTAAAAGTTTTTGAAACATAATGTTTACGTTTATATCTCTGAAGAAGTTTGAAGTAAACTGATGAAATTAGAGTTAGTGATTTAACAAATAGAAGGTATAAATTTACTTAAATTGTATATAAATATGTCAATCAATGGCAGAAATACAGGGAGACCCATCACTAAGACTCCAGTATTTGCATGATCGAGTATCTTAGAAATTCGATGGGTGCACTTGATTCATAATTATAGTGTTTCAAAGGAAAAATATCTTTTATTTGGAAATCTAACATAGGCTTACCACATCACAGCAGAATAAATAGGTAATAACTACAAAATTACTCAAAAATGTAATTGGAGTAATTTCGATTTTTTTTTATATTTGTGTTGTTTTAAAACAAAAAAGAACACAAACGGGGCTTGTTATTTGGATAAAACAGAAGAAATGTTTTTCATTATACAGTTGGAATGATATTAATTATATAGAAATACAATTAGGAATCGAAGGCACCATAGAATTTAGAAAATTCTGGAGCTCGTAATAGCAGTTTCTTCCAGTAACCTGCGCCTCTGGTTGATGTAATTATACACAGCGAATTTCCATCTTTAGCTAAATCACTAGCCCAGGTTTTATCGTCCTACGTTAAACATCTTCAGAGATATTTATACAGGGTCGGAAAGTCCCCATGGTTCATCGGCTGTTACGTGAGAGCGATAAAGTAAGTGATAGAAATCCGTGCGATAGAGAAAGATGGCTATAATGAAGGCGTCTAATAGTCACCGCCCATTTCGCCCTTCCACAAATAAGAAGTGGATCTTATTTGTCAAAATAGATGTAGTACTACATAAAAAAAATTCCTATAGGGCTCGTTGTGGAATTATTCGCCTTCAAAGAAAGAAGTTTGAAAAACAACTTCCAATTAAAAGTTCTAAGTCGTTACCATGAAAATAATGAAATTTGGGCAATTAAAGTAACTCATGGTAATGTTCTTTTCAATGTTTAAACTGATATTCAGTATGCCTGGATTATACAGCAGCAGACGAAATTAACCATTTAAATTTATACATCTTTGACTTTGTCAAATTTGACATTTTTCTTTCATAGTTCGATCCCTCTCACTTCGCTAAAAAAAATAGGTAGATATACCGTATATCAGTCGATATATAACGTTGTCAAATATGTATAAATTTAAATGAATAATTTCGTCTGCTCCTATATAATCCAGGCATGTTGAATATCAGTTTAAACTTGGAAACCAACATTACCATGAACTCCTTTAATTGCCCGAATTTCATTGTTGTCGTGGAAACGATTTGGAAGTTATTGGAATTTGTTTTCAAACTTCTTTCTTTGAAGGCGAATAACACCACAACGAAACGCGATAAGAATTTTTTTTATGAAGTACTACAACTATTTTGACCTCCCCTGTATATTCCTTCATTTTTGACATGACCTTTCCGGACACCCTGTATATTCTCCATAGCTCTAAACCCCACATCTCGAAAACTAAGCCATTTAGAACCAACATTTATCCAAACCTTTCTCCCTAAAGCGATCATCATAGAAATTTACAAGAATAAATGTCCCAAAATTATTATGGAAGAAATAAAATGCAAAATTTGTGTTTCTGGTAATTTATAAAATAGAATAAATTGCGAATGTTCTGTTATTGTATTATTTCTTATTTGATCATATTCTAACCCATTGGATTTGAGACATTCGATATACGATTTTCTGGTCAGGCAATGTGGAGAAATTATTTCATAAAATAATAGGAGTGTGTTGGTTCCGACAGAAAACGGTTTTAGGGCGATTCAAATTTGTTGACCATTCCATTCATAAGAACATCTAAGGCAAGATATACTGACAATACAGTTGAGTAACTATTCTGAACTGTTCTAGGATTGTCCGCTGACAGAACCAAAACAAACCTACTATAGTAAACTATTATAACTTTTTAAATTTTCAAGTTCTAAAATATATTGCGAAATAAAAAAACTCGATAAGATTTGTTCAGAATTTTTTGGAGAAAATACAATTTTTGGGAGAACAATTTTGATTTTCGTATTCTGTTGTCTATTTTATGAAAAAGTTTTTATTCATTTCTCTACATTTTAAATCTGTTGAAAAGAAATGATATTTGTTGTTGGTTTCTCAATAGAAAAATATAATTTGCTGCATAAAAAGGAAGCTTAACGCTAAAAGGAGTAAATGAGACATTCGGTATGTGGTTAAATATAATACTTAGTCACAAAATTAACAAAAATCAAAGCTGCTGAGCACTGTTTGAGTATATGTCAATATTTATTTTGTAAAAATAATGAGATAAGATAATATAAATTGTAGAAAATATTTTAGTTCGTCAGTTTAAGTTCTGCAACTATTAGATACCTGTCCAAAATTTGAACTTTTGCTCGGTTAGCTATGTTAATTCGAATTTAATACATGCTTATTGCTAAGTATATATCAATTAAATCTCAGAACGTGGCCCTACATTTAGTTATTAAAACTCAAGATTAGATAACGTATTACGGTGTTTTGAAAAGCAGATAATCAAATTCAACGACAAATATCATGTCTTGTTCTCTTCTTTGACAGTATTGCTTAACACATGCAATAATTTTCCAATATGTGTTGCGACAGTTACTTTTCCTTACCTCATCACCAATATTTTGGTGACATTGCGAGATTAGCACAAAATTATAGTGCTTATAGTGATGACAATTTTACACGTGGAACCATGGTTGATCACCAGGAACAGTTTTTGCCCAATGAACTTGACAATGTCTATTCTCCTTCCGGAAGTTGTGGCACCGATGAAAAGTTTAGGATTCGACCTAATAGCATCCTGGCTCAGGTGGGGGTACCGTGCCAGACCGACCAGGATTTTGATTACGGACATTGCTACAGTTACTACGCTAATGGATGCTATAATGTATGTCAATTCGTTGATGTTGGCGATATAGAGGATTTTATGTAAGTGTGCCAAATAAATAATTGAATTCTGGCAAGTTATTCAAATATTTGTCCAACAAAAAATTTGTCTTGGATGTAGACAGGTATGTTCCAAGAGAGTAGTCTTGGATAAAAAAATTATAAAGAAATAAATAATTTTCCTTTGTAAAATGAAAATAATACGCAATTTAAAATAGAGTCAGTTCTCAGTTAATTCCAAAAAAGTGTATAAGAAGGTATAGTCTGAAGAAATGACGCAGCGAATAGTTTTGATTATATTAATGATAAAAGAAATAGTAATTCGTACAATTCTGAGCTGGTCAATCTTAATTATTTCTGTTTCGATGTCATATGACTATTATCTATTTGGCGGGAAAATTTTAAAATGTTACATGGCAGTGCAAAAAATGAGCAATAATGTTCTTTATCAGATATCACTGTGTAGATATCTACTATATGCTGTGAATCTTTATTTAGTTGAATGAGTATCCAAACATAATAATGGTATGCATTAGAGAGATTTTTCTAATGCATAACAAAATTTACTCGATTTTCATGAAAATAGAATTTTATTCCCAATAAAATAAACCAATCAACAAAGTTCGACAGTTTCATAGTTGCTTGAAAATGTGGGGCAAATGTGGGAAAATATTGTTATTGAAATTTCTTATAAAGAAATTTTCATAGGATCTACCAATTTGAAAAGTGTAATTGCATATCCTTATTGTTATTGTACGTGGAGGTTAATGACTCTGAAATGAGGATCCTAGACGATTCAAATTGGACTTAATTATTTACTATAAAGTCTGAGAATTAAGAATAAAAATCATTTGTTGGTGTAGCATAAACATAAAAGATAGCTACATGTTTAAAAAATGGTTACAATCTCACTGCCTATCCCGCAGATAATATTTTTGATTTCTGTTTAAAGTCTACTCAACTAACAAAAAAACAATACAGATAAACTTAATTTACTCTAATATACACACTAATTAATTGACGGTATGTTTAATATACAGGGTGATTCACTTTTTATGATTAGGACTTTAACCTTCGATATATCTCGTCAAAATAATGCCATTTTGAAGTATACACTTTTTCTTCCAAAGACTTCCTTTTAGAGATATAAGCTCTTGAAAAAAATTTTGTTTTTGTTTTTATTATGGATTCATTACAATTAGCCAAACAGGGGTCCAGAATGTATCAGTTATGTGTTAATAATATTTCAGTGTTTCTCAATATTAAATATTTTATTCTGTATTACTTTGTTTGAAAAACTTAACCATTTCACATGTAATGAATCCATAAGAAGCCATTTTTCTGAAAAAAACAGCATTTCATTTAAAAATAGTAAGGGACCTTTTTGATGTAGATAAACCGCAATATAAAAAAATATATATTTATTTTGAAAAATTTCCAGTGGCGTATAAATTATATTAAAAATAGGGATTATCGGAGCCCCTTACGGACGCCTATTGTAAAATCGATAAAGTTTTCCATTCGTACTAAATATAAAACAAATGGATTTCATAGTTTTAGAAAAAAAGAGTGTTTTTTCAAGAGCTTATACCTCTAAGAGGAAGCCTTTGGAAGTAAAAGTATATACTTCAAATTGACATTATTGTGAGGAGATTTATCGATAATTAAAATCCTAATCATAAAAAGTGCATTACCCTTGTTTATTTATGGTATTTTGTCAGCTGGGAACTAAATTATTTTAATAAATTTTTGCATTTTTATTAAATTATTTAACCAAAGAAAAGCAGACAATTAGAAAATACCCATCACTTAATTTAATTATTATTCAAAAATCTAATTTGTTTTTTCTTTTTCAATAAAGAAAGGGAAATATAATTTACAGAAAAATTTATTCTTACACAACAGGTCCCTTTATCTACTATTTAGCTCTTGCGACTGTATGTCAACTATGACTACTATGCGCTTAAAAAATAGTTAAACTACTGTTATACCATTTTTACTTCGCCATATGCATATTATTTTTTACCGTTAATAGGTAGGCCCCAACTAAAGTCAATTGGATGTAATTATAGGATAGGAAACCATACGCCAAATTTGAAAACAAGTTGTAGCTACTTACGTGACGCGAACAAAGAGGTATTAATTAAGTAAAAATATTACGCAATTCTGACAAAAAAATTAGTCCCAAAGAAAATATTACAGACTAACAAATTTTGAGTTATAACTCTTTTCTATGTCTTGCCGTTTGGTTTTGTGTTTTATAACATTATCCAATTAAGTATCTACTTATTTTTAGTGGAAAAAGTCTAAAGAAACGTATTCACCGTAAGAAGGTGCCTTCTTGTTCTAACAAGAAAAATTGTTGTTATAATATTGATTATCTTAGCAAAAATTTCTTATTAGTCGATTTCCCCGAGTCTAACGTGCCCATGTGAGACGAGAAGAGTTAGAGCAATTTTGCACATATTCTGTCTTGAGTATCCTGTACAGTTTATACTAAATTTTTCATTTTACATTTTTCTACGCATTTTCTTTAGCGTCCGTTCGATGTCCTATTTTTTTTTAATGCAATGTGCTTATCCATCGTCATGTTCAGATGCCAATAACTTTTACTTTTGTTGGAATTTGTCCAAACACGAGGTTAGTGATCACATGTCTTATCATAAAACTCGTCTAGAAATAAGATTAATTTGAAATGATTTGTCGTATAATTTCATGGTACTATAATTAGTTGCTGTTAATGTGCAGATCTTAAACAGTTAGTGGTTTTTATAAAAACATTGGAATTAACCTCGCATTGTGGCTATTTATAATTTTCGCGAATTCAATTTTACATCATATCCTTGTGTTTGTTTAATTTTATAATGTTTGGAAAACTGTAAGTACCAACCTTTTTCGATATAATTGGATTGTAAAATTCGGACATCGCGTGCATCCGATGTTATCTAATTAAAAATAAGTACTAATATTCAGCTTAAGAGGGATTAAAAGGTTATCTATTATTGCTAAATTTAAATCCACTTTTGCATACTTTTATCCTAGCTCCGCAGTCTTGTATAGATGAAGATATTATTTTTTTATTATACATATATTCGTTAGTGAAGTATTGTCCAAATTTATCGTCTAAAGCCGGGTACACATTTGAACACGAATAGGTATGTATGTACGAGACAAGGCAAAAACCGTACGAATGCAGACGCACTCGAGGCGCGGTAAACTATCTCGATCCGAGGCTAAGCCTGTTGGTATGCTATTCTGTTTCGCAGTCAGACTTAAAGAACAGTAAATTATTCGTTTTGGGATCTTGATATTATCACATATTAAGTCAACCTATCCAGGTATGTTTGCACCGTTAGTTGAAAAATAAGTATTTCTTGTTAATTGTATCATCCTGTGCTTCGAAAACCAAAAAATATATTTTTTAATATTCATAAGAAAAATTATTATTTATTTTTAAAATGACCATATTTGTTGGTCTGATGTTAAATTTAATTCACCCTGTGTACAAGTTGTAGTATAACAACCCCAGGTTCGATAAAAAAATAAACGAATATAAACGTAGTTGTGGCCCAAAATATGTGATCATCATAAGGAATATCTACGTTGTGTGTATCTATTTTTAATTGACCGGAAGGCGCTGGCTACTAACTTTTTTTGAGGGGATGTATGGTTTAATTTTATAAAACAAAAGCAGAGTAAATACACCTAACTTTATTATTTACGTACAACAGTCTTCAAATTAAACATGTGACAAATAGAAAGAACAACAAAAACATTAACAACCATTTAACATAAAATGAGAGTGCCAGGCTCACCTAGAGCTCCTGTGGGGAAAGAGCATGGCAGAGAAACCCACGATCGTTGCTCTTACCACCCAAATATAAATACAAAACAACCGCTAACCAAAGGCATAAATTAAGATCCTTTGCTAATGATAAATAACACCCGACTTATTTAATTTCTCACTAAATGTCACCTCACTCGAATTAGACATACACACTTCCAAGTAAAACTGAAGAGGTTTGGTGTTAGTTAGCCGGCAGAGCCGGAAGGTACTGGAGTCCCATACGGGAGGCAATCCAGCTATGAGTTGAGATTTCGGAAGATCTGTTTTAGCAATTCTTTTTTTGTATTTAATTATTCTTTTTACAGATTCATTCCTCACGGGCGAAAATGTTAGTAAATTCAACAAGGCTCTTATATGCGTATGACATAAAGTGAGCACAAGAAATGCTTTATTATTTATTTTTCAAACAACGTAATCATGATAAAACAAGTTAAAGGTGAAACAAAGGAGTTGCTATTGCAATATCTGGGCAGTCACGACAAAATATACATATTTTAACATGTAATAAATAATGAGCAATCTTTAATAATAATTGTAACAATTTTATCTTAGAAAAATATACGCCCCTGAGCGTAAGACAATGAAGGCTAAACATACACAGAATTATTATCATGAAACATCTATGTTTTTCGAACAACGTAATCATAACAAAAACAAGTTAGATGTGAAACAAAGGAATCGTTACTGTAATGTCTGGCAGTCACGACAATATATATATATTTTAACATGAAATAAATAATGAGTAATCTTTAAAAATAATTATAATAATTTTACCTTAGAAAAATATATGCCCTTGAGCATAAAGCAGTGGAAGCTAAACATACAAAAAATTATTATCATGAAACATCTATAAACATCACAATCATAAGATTACATAGAACAAATAAAAACAAAGTACTTAAAAAATATTACCTGCTAACTAATACCGGTTATACACTTAATTTTACACTACTTCTGTATTTTTCACACTACACTGATCGTCTTACTTTTCACTCCGCGCTGTTCTCACTTCAACTGCCTATCTTCAACTATCTAGGCTTCCATCCAGAATTCCCTACCTAAGCGCTTGTTTTTTGTGCTCCTTCTACCGACCGTTAATATTACTTTTTCATTATTGTGCAACACTCATGTAACAGGTGACGTCGAAGTTGATAAGATAAGTACGGTTTTGCACAAAGTATAATACGTTTTTTTCTTCTAGTCTACTTAAGAAATTGCAATTAATTATAAGTACATAGAGGGTAGTCATACAGGTAGTCAGGTTCTAACAGAGCAAATAGAATCTACGTTAAAAATGTAGAAAAAAAAATGAGTTTGTCCGCTAATGGGTTTTTGCATTTAAGTGAAATTGTAACAAATTAGAAAAAAATTTTTTAACGAATTTCCGGAATATGCCTGACTTGTTTTAAATTTCTTCAACTTCAGCACCCTATATCTCGAAAACAAAGTTGCATTTTATTTAAATTGTCGCATATCGTCCAATTATCCTGTATGTTTTTAATGGTTTATACGGGCGGTCCTAAATTGTTTCTCGACATTTTTAGGACATATGTACATCAAAATATACTTTCTTTTTAATGTCTTTTCCCCCAAAATGAATAATAAGGAAATGTACCCGTTTAAAAGAAGATATTTTATTTTTTGAGACTCAGACATACGGATACTAGTTTCTGTATCCTAATCAAATCTCACACGTTGCATAGATTATAAGTTTAGGCAGTGACTATTACTATTTCATTTCCAACCTTTATTTACCCCATTTTCTAAAAAAGAAATATATATTTTAAAAAATAGCTCTCGGCAATTAAGCAAAATCGAATCGTTATCGAGAAGTTTATATTTACATAATATGTATTTGTTAAATTTTATAATATTCGCATATATGCTTTGAAATGGCACGCATTTCGAACAATTTCCATAAAATACTTCAGTGTTATCGCTTAATTAAAATATAATAATACCTAAATGTTGTTTTTGAATCATATGTATTAAAAATAATTTAGAGACTTACCAAAAAGTAAGTAATTTTTAAACGCACAAGTACAAGACAAACTACAACATAATATGCTCAAAATGTCCCCATTTTCGATGCACGCACAACACCTTCGACTCCAATTTTCGCGCACTTGATGGAAAACACCTCAAAAAAGGAAATAGTGGTACGCAAAAAACACTCCGAAATGGTCCAATTCCAGGTACCAACACCAACTGAATTGCGTATTGCTGGACAGCTTAGTACCTCGTGTTGACCGCTACGCCGTTGTCACATTGCTCGATATTAATTTTATCGAATTTTAAATTTATTACAACATTAATTATTTTTTAGAATTAAGTGTAAAGAAGAAACCGTTACGTCTACGCTCGAGATAATGCGATGGCTGATTGGTTGAATAGTAATATCGGAAAAAATTGCACCAAGCACAGATGGTGAAATAGAACGTTGTGTTAAAACACAACCACAATGCAACCTTGATTTTACTAATTTAATAAATTTTAATTTTGTCTAATTTAATGACCAACATGAAGGAAATAAAATTACTATTCCAAACGAAATTACTGGTCACGTGGCTTGTAGTCATTTATGAGGGCTATGTATTTTGTGTACCTAGAGATTAGTATCAAAGAATGACTTTAGCCGATGAGAACTTTAGGAAAAATTTTAAATTTGTTTTGAATTAGCTCAGTATCTTTCAGAATAAAATATAAAAAGATACACATATTTTCATTTGTACTACCCGTACTAAAAATATTATATTACATTATACCACCCTGTACAATTAGATTAAACACTTTATATCGTTTAGCACTTGATGTTTTCTACGATTTTACTAAGAATTCCAGCAAATTAAACTTTGTTCAGCCTCACGATTCATCTGAGAAAATTAAACATTTATTCAATTCTATAATAATACTAATAAGATAACTGTATGATTAGATCTATTTTGTTTAGATAAATCAGACAACATATCAACATTATTATATTTTAGAACATATATTTTAATACATCCAGATATGGAATCGATGAGGTTAAATTCTTTTATCTCTCTTAAATATCATAATTTATTTATTTCCAATACCATGCCGACCGATATAATGCTGGATCAGATACTGGCTTAATAATTGCATCTTCACTAAAATATCGCATTTTAACAGAACGTCCGTGTTCGATTTATTAAAAAAATATTTTACTAGGTACTAACTGTTCTGAAAAATTTAAACAGTTTTATAACTAAAATGATATCTATTACTACAGGAAGCAGATTTGTTTGCGGTTACCTGCACACTTTGTTAATTCTGGTAATTTGACGCTGTTTTAATAACTAATACATATTAACTGTAAACAAATCGTCATAATTTTATTTTACATAAAAAGTATCTCAAACATCCCCTTATAAATAATTGTAGCCTAGATTTTTAATTTGTATTATGTTTTTTTATTATTTAGAACTATATTATTTAGATAAGCAAATATGCAACACACAGTGGCGTACTGTTAAATAGTGAAAAAAAAAACTTAAAAACGTAAATAGCAATTTATTAAAACTAATAATTCAGTTAATATCGATATCTACAAACTTTCAGCAATATGACATGATTACTTTTTTAAAAATATGAAGAACTTAGCCTACTAAAAATCTTAATACTTACATTGTTGATTAAGGATTAAAAATTAATGCATCGTATAGTACAATATATGTATATATCGCTCATATTATTGAATTACAAATTTTGTTTGCAAATTATGTTTGTAAATTAAGTTGTATTTTCTTGAGTCTGATTTGTTAAAATTATCAATTAAAATGACTTCATTTAAATTACAGTTTATATTTAGAAAATCATTTATTTAAAATCGTGATTTAATTATGATATAAATCAGTCAATTGAAATCGCCATATCCTTGCAATCTGGTATGTTTGCGCTTTAGTGTATGCGATAGAATTATATTTCCATTATTCAATTGTCAAAATCTATAAAATCGGCTCCAGATGATGCAGTGCACTTGCCAAATATTTGTCGATACATTCGAAAATATTTCTTCATTTGACAAATATTCGTCAAAGCTATTTATATTTATATTTGGGGAAATATTTCTCACTATTTCACAACGTGTATATGATGCAACATGGCGCTATGGATTTTGCCCAAATATTTGTCAAATATTTAGCAAATGACCGATTTATGTGGATCCGACATTAAATATACCGATTTAATTTGTTCAAGTATTGTTTATATAAATTTGGTACCTAAGTTATGTTTCGCTGATTGAACTTTTGTGTTACAGGAATAATGAGAAACGAAAGGAAAAATCACGAGATGCTGCTCGATCACGCAGATCCCGTGAAACCGAAATTTTTACAGATCTGGCAAATGCTCTCCCACTCACCTCCGAACAGATCTCACAGCTCGACAAAGCATCCGTCATGAGATTGGCAATCTCATATCTTAGAGTTAGAGACATGGCAACATTAGGTAAGTTGGCTTAATGATGTTTTCTTAAGGAAGGCCACACACGCATTAATTGACTAAGATAGGCTCGGCTATACATAGGTAGTTGTTGCTCCCTTTTCCAACATAGGCAACTTATGGCTTTTTCAGCATTAACTTCCATTCGGCTAAATAATAGGCAAACATTGTTTAATTTGCTATCAAGGAATGAAACATGACGTAGATTGGTTTTGTGTAAACGGTACAATCATTTTTTCTAAGTTAATTAGATGTTGGTGTTTATAAGAATTAGTTCTTTAACAGATTATTTGCTGTGTATATTAATGAAATTTCATGAAAACTTCAGAATTTCTCCAGAATTTTAATGTAATAAAAAAGTTTATTTATGTTTTGTATTTTAATTTAATTCAGTTAAATACGTACGTACGTATTACGTAAATACGTAAAATAAATACGTACCTATTGTATACTGATAATATTGATTTCATTTTAACAATATATGGGTTATTCAGTGTTTCTAAAATATAGTGTCAAACCAGAGATAGATCCAGAGATGGATTTTGGGGCGGGAGGGTGGTTAGGGGGAGGGGGGCCGTTTGTACAGTTGATGTGTAAAAAAAAGAACTTCATTATAGGGGTTTATCTTTGTTATTTTATTTGTACCAAAAATTAAATAAAAATAATTTCGAACCGTTTGGGGGGAATCCTCGCCTGTGCCAAACTGAGATGAAATATGGCTGCGTTCTTCGAATTGTCAGCACGATTAAAATCGTTCATCGGACAAAAAATATTTCGTTGGTCAGCCCAATCAGTTGATTGCGAATATTGTGCAGATTTTAAAATGTGATTACAATGGGCAGGATCGTTCAGGGAGTATGATATGATTTTCAAATTCATCAGTATTGAAAAAAAGAAAATATTCTTCATTAATTAATTAATGTTTTAATCCTGGAATAAGAATAATATTGTTATTGGTATTTAATCATACATGACTTAGGTACTCATTATTTCTGTTAAAATTATAAGTTCGGATTCACAAATTTCAGTAATTTGTAAACTCTCATTATAGCAATCGCATAACAATAACTGAGTAGCGGCTATCCCTACACCATTCCCCCTGCTGGGATTCATAATCATAATAAACGAAAAATAAAAATATATTTTATTTTCTGTAATCAGAATCAGAATCAGAATTTTCTGTAATCTGTAATCAGAATCACAAATTAATAATAAAATATGATTTATGAACAGTAAAATCAGATCATAGTACATATTTACATTTTACTTTTAGGTTATGAAACCACAAACAAAAGCTATGCTATGTTTTGTGTACAAAACAGACAAAGCACGGGGGAAGGGGGAACAATCGTTCAGCGAGTTGTCATTTTAAACAAAAAAAAAATGAAATGGCAGATTCAGAAACGGTTAGTATGATAGGAGATTGATAAAGGTGCACACATTTTTTTACATACTCCAAAATGGTTGATTAGATCCAAATTAAACGAGGTACAAATCAAGAATATTGATTGCGTTTATTTTTCGCGAGGATGGTTTTTCCCTCATTCACAGTAACAGCGATGCAGGTGGCAATTAATGTTTCCTTTATCTTAAAGAAATTGTCCTTGACATTTTCGGCAAGAGAATTTATTTTTGTGAAAGATCACCATAGAAGACACAAAAAAAGATAATCTTGTTCAGTGTCTGATTTGTGAAAAGTCTTAAAACTAAGATAAATTAGTAAGATTTGGTGATGGAATTCTTTAATACCATATTTTAAGGCTTACTTAAATTTGGAACTAACTCTATCTGGGAAACAATATCAATGTTCTTATAACATTTTTATTATTATTCTAATAGCTCTGTTTCAGCGGTACTTTTATCGAGCTGCCAAAATAAACGTATATTGTTAATTTTCTCGTAAACCATGTAGATCATTGAGATCAAAGAAGAATACATTGCTTGTGATTATTGTACCAAAAATGTCACAGATAATTTTTTTAAGATAATAAAAGCTTTCAATAACCCCCAGTGTCTCCGCCACTGTGAATGAAGGAAAAACTTGTTTCGTAAGATTATTGCTATTAATAGCAATAATCATAATAAGCAAGTTTCATTTAATTCTGATCCGAAGTTATTTAAAAATATATTCATATTTTTAGCGGGGCATGTATGTATGTATGTCGGAGGGTGGTGGAATTGTTTTTCCACCGCGGCACTTAGGCCTTATTAGGCCCCTTGTACACCCTCCTTCATTACTCGAGTACTTTTCTTCAAACCATCCTATTTACTACACGGGTGGCTTGGTGGGAAAGTCTCGTACAGTTTATGTATGATAGCATGGTCTTGAGTTGCAGAGATTTTCTTTGCTCTGTTCTCATTACCATTTATCGGAGACCACACGCATGCGGCATGTTGGGCGACCCAGGTCTTTGGTAGGCTGTCACAGCCACGTCCCCGAGCCTGCCTTAGGTCACCCATCCAAATTCCAGCCTACGTCCGTGATGCTTGCCTCGGCAGATCGAAATCAGGCGGCCAAGACACCCGGCTAGGCGGTCCCCTTAGCGGGGCATATTTATCACCTTGTTCTGACCCATGACCCATGTTCCCATATGAAAGAACCCATATCAAACTTTTTGTTTAAAATCACGTTTGTTACCTCCTGTTTTAGTTTGAAACCATATTTAAGAAACATATTGTACATTGTTTACTTCTGTTTAATAAATAAATGGGAAGAGATGTGATGGTATCAATAGACCGCGTTAGCTTATAGGAATGACTTGACCATTATTCAATAAGTGTATGTGGCTATTCTTCAAGTACAACTGATTTACGACCGTCTGGCCGCGGGGCTCGAACCGGCGGTGTCAGCAACGACGGTTTAGAGACTGTCCTTAAGCCGTTAGGCCATCGACCGATCAAATATGTATCACTTATTTTTAATAACACTTAGATAATCTCTCGACTATTTAGAGATGTGTAATGTGTAAATCTCCTTTCGAGTAGGAAACTTATCAAAATTAACAACTGACATATCGAAAGAGATCTCAACATTTATTCGTTAATATTTCGACATGATTAAGACAACCTTTAATATTAGTGTCTCGTAAGCTCTATTTTAAATACATAACCAACTGGTCTTAACTTTCCAATTAATTTATAACTACTAAATCTATCTCTGTATAATTTAAAATATGACACAATATTCTCATATGTATAAAAATGTACTTTCTTACCGTCCACTGGTAATATTCATTGAAATGAGTGAACTGAAAATTAATAACAATAATAAAATAGTTTTTAATTCATTGGTAAAATAGAGGGTGTTTCGCATAAGAACCGACACAGAATAGGGGCATGTAGGGGAACCCAAACTATGATGATTTAATGCAACTTATCTTTATACTAATTTGCACCCCTGAGAAGTTATAGGCCTTGAAAGTGGGATTTCAAATTTTGAAAAAAAAATAATATTTCAGTTATAATTGAACTTAGAAAAACCAAATTTGGTACTTGGTATGAGTGTACCAAGAACATTAATCGACAGTAAGTAGGTTTCAATTAATATATTTTAAAAGGATGATGCACCATTAAAATGTGACAGAATTTTTTAATCCTTTGACGGATTTTATTACTTTATTTTATGGGGAATTAAATTCTAAAATTTTTCTTACTCTTGTTAGTCTTCAAAAAACTTTGTCGTTTTGGACTTTGGATAGAGTAGACTTCAATTTTCAATTTGTGTCTGAAAGAAAACGATGATCATTTTGATCAATTTCTATAACGTGTAAGTGCAAAGTGTATGTTATTTCTGTTGTTTAACCTGTTTGTTTTTTTTTATTAAATTTTTCTTAATCCAACTTTTTTCCTAATCGTCATGTTTGACGTTTAAATTCATAGTCAACTTTTAAATTTTCGATGATTTTAAATATCAGCCACAATTCGTATTATTAGTTATTCGTGTTTTTGTTGAAAACGAAGTAATAATTTTGTCTGTCAACGGGTTAAAAAATTCTGTCACATTTTAATTGTGCGTCATCCCTTATCAACCCTTTAATATGCTTCAATTGAACTCAACTTACTGTCGATTAATATTCTTGATACACTCGCACCGTGTACCAAATTTGGTTTTTCCAAGTTCAAGTTACTGAGATATTGATTTTTTTCGAAATTTGAAACCCCATTTTCGAGGATTCTCACTTCTCAGGGGCGCAGCTTATTACAAAAGTAAGTTGCGTTAAATCACCATATTTTGGGTTCCCCTACATGTCCCTGCTGTGTCGGTTCTTATGCGAAACACCCTGTGTAAGTGTTTTCTTTTTCTTATTTGTTAGAGATTTTAAGTGAATATAATTTTATTAATATCGGTTTTGTTTGTTGCTCTCGTTACTTTTTAAAACTGTATTCTTTTCATATTCTTAGCCACTTACTGCAGAGCTGTACTCCTATGTATTCTAACGTCTTAACCTCGGTCTTAACTATTAGTACTACGATATGTGGTACTACGAAGACGAGGACAGTGAAAAATAAGTGATAGACTTATAAAAATACGACGTTGCATTATAGGCAGTAGACCATTCAGAAAACAACGGAATTCAATTAAACACAAATAATAACAGCGATGCTATATAAATTACTGATGAGAATAGTAAAATAATTTATGAGGGGAAGAAAAAAGAAATTTTATGTAATTAAAATAATTTAAATAAATCGAATATGTTGTCAAAATAAATAATAACGATTCTAAAGTAATGTCCTTCTGGGTACGCCACTGGTAAGGAAAGCAAAGAACTAATAGGTATAGTCTTTCCGATGTCAATTGAAGAACCAACAGTATGTATCAGGTTCGGTCGCTGACGCAGTAACTCGGCATTGAAATATTTAAAAAACTTGTTCCCATATTTATTTAGACATACCCATAAACAGGTCTGGTCGAACTAAACGTGGAGGTGATAGAAATGTATATGCTCAGTTGAAGAATGCGAGCGCAAGCAAAGGAAAACGATCACAGTTGCATTGGGCTACTGGGCAATAAATCACAGCAGATGACAAGTGGTTGATAATTTGCCCAGCAGTGCAGTACAGCAATGCGGAATTTGGCTTGATTCAGGTAATTTTAATTTATTATAGGCACCTTCTATCAATCATTCATATTACAATTGCGAAAGGGAGAAATAAGAGGAATATTTTGTTTAACTAATATTATCTAAACATGGCATTTTGGAGACCTTTTGAAACAGAACAAAACGAAATTTACCACCAATATAATGAAATTGTTTGAGGACATATATAATTAAAATATGTTGTTGGTCAAATGGACATAATTATAATAGATATTTTCTACACATTATATACAAATTATTATAATTTTTTACCTTTAGCAGAAAATTTTTTTAGGGACGCCTATGAAACTCATTGAATTTATTACCAGACGTTTTTTTTTGCATGTTCAACTGACTTCGGAAAGACTATACTGTTGAATGCTACGAACTATCGTCAATTTCGCTGTCCAGCACATGACTCAAACAACCTAGCATGTCAGTGATATTGTCTGAAGTTATTTATTTATGGCATAGTTTTCGATTTTTTCATTATTTTTTTGGGTATTTTGCTCCCTATTTTTATGAAAATAGTTTTGCCTAACCAAAAAATCACATTAATTTTTTGAAATTTTTTCACAGGCGATAAAATACTCAAAAAATACATAAAAAATTGAAAAAAAAATATAGTTGTTAATCGTAGTTATATATAAAGCAACTTTTTTTATATTAATTTTATTATCTTTTATATTTACAGTTCCAGAATTGGATGCTGTAGACGTAAACAGCAAAGATGCTGATGGATCAGTATTCCTAAAATCTCTGGAAGGTTTTCTGATTGTATTATCACCTGAGGGTGATTTCGTCTATCTATCTGAAAACGTCAGCGACTATTTGGGCATTTCTCAGGTAAAGTAACACATTGGAATTTGTCACTTCTACTTATATTTATTTAACAAATAATAAATACTTTCTTAGTCTTAAGTTGTACAGGGCGTAGTTTATCTAAAATTTTGATTAACTGCAGTTTTTTTATCTTATAAAAATAAATATACATTCAGAATTGTACTGTGAAATAAAAAAATCAGAAGATATTAATTATAACATGGAAGTTGTATGTATAGTTTTCAGATGTAACAATGCTTAAAATATTGAATATTTAAAAAAAATATATAATTTTCTTAAAATATTCGTGACCAAGAAATTGTGTTGAAGAAACTTGATCAAACTGAGAGAATTGTCAAAAGTGAAAATTTTGCTAGTTTGAGGAAGTTACATTTCCCAATTATTAATTATTGTTTATGAAACATGAAATTCATGTCAGTTATCATAATGTTTGTTTTTCATTAAACTTTCAATAGAAAAATATGTATATTTTTTGCAGATTGATTTAATGGGACAAAATATATTTGAATATAGTCATCCTTGTGATCACGACGAGATCAGAGAAATTTTATCTGGAAAATCACAGGATGATACAGATTCGCCAAAGTCAATGTTTATTCGACTCAAATGTACACTTACTAGTAAAGGAAGATCTGTAAACCTCAAATCAGCTACATATAAGGTAAGCATATTTTAATGACTAAGTATAGGTATATTAAAACTTTTTAGGTATATGTTATTCATAATAATTAACACACTGGCACATAGCAATACTTCAAAAACTTTTAGTGTCTATGTAAAATTTATTGTATTTTTATCACTTTCAGACACATTTTATAATCATAATCAGAAAATAAGGCAGCTGAGAGGCTGAGTGTATGATGCATTCAGTTTTCATTTAATCATCACATTGATGAAATCATTGTCAAAAGAAAACAACTATTAAGTTAAGTCCCATATTTTTATGTAGTTTTTGACATTGAAGTTGGTTCTGTGGTGTTAAAAAATATATTATAAATATATTTGACAGCGGGTAATACGTATATCATAGGAAATTAAAAAAATATATAACCCTACCTATAGCTCCAAAAACAATAGGTTTGTTAAAGGATTGCTGAAAAGTACTTATTTCTTTTTATTATCCCTTGAATACAGTAGCAGTATCATTTTATTTTACTACTATCTCTTTAACTTTGATCATTTTTGATAAAAGGGCATCTAAAAGTATTGAAACAGACACGTATTAAATTTTGTTAGACTATACAGGGTGTCCCACCGGGAACTGCGTCGATCGATATCTAGGAAAGTACTGCTCCGAAAAATTTGAAAATTTTTCAACATGGTAATGTCCCTGGAGCGAATACAACTAAAATATCTAGAACTCTCCAGCACTTCCGTTTATGCCGGAAGTCGACACCAACTTCGTTATTTTAAAGGGGACACCATATATATTATTGAATTTTCGTATTCTACAGGGTCGGAAAGTCCCCATGGTTCATCGGCCGTTACGTGAGAGCGATAAAGAAAGTCATAGAAATCCGTGCGATAGAGAAAGATGGCTATAATGAAGGCGTCTAATAGTCATCGCCCATTTCGCCCTTCCACAAATAACGTCCACTTCTTATTTGTGGAAAGGCGAAATGGGCAATGACTATTAGACGGCTTCATTACAGCTATCTTTCTCTATCGCACGGATTTCTATGACTTACTTTATCGCTCTTACACGTAACGGCCGATGAACCATGGGGACTTTCCGACCCTGTATGTGAAATTTGAGGGTCACTTTATTAAGTTTAGTATTCCCTGTACCTGAGTTATAGATTTTGAGATACTAATTTTTAAAGAAAAAAAAATGACAGATGCAAGGTTCCGCGAAGATGCTAGTAACTCTTTTCAGGAGTGTGATGTCAAATGGATATTTGGTACCTGTAAAGGGCATAGGTATCTACATTATGGTATACCAACAAATTAAAACATTTAATACTAGGTGTTTCATTTTTGCTGTTACATTTTGATAATTTCAAACAGCTATAACTTTGTTAACTTAAATGGAACAACTGTATTTTTTACTCTGTCGCATGCAGATTCAAATTTCCTTTCAAGCCATATAAGCATTCTTAAGTTTGCCATTAATACTTTTAAACACATTTGCAATTTTCTATTTTTTAGATAGGTAGTTTTTCTCGTTAAAATAACATGACATTTGTCAAGTTAGTTCTGATGCTTTTTTCCATAAATAACAAACAAATTAAAATAATCCTCATAATTATAAGTTAAACGATCCCCAGGCATTTTTATTTAAATATTTAGCAAAAACTATTACAGACATAACAATAATTTGACAACTAATTTGACAAATGTCAAGTTATTTTAATTGTTTTGTAGTGTTTCTGGTCATGGCCAATTTGAAAACAAGGCCTGATACGAGAAAAAATGTCCAAAAAATAGAAAATTGCAAATATCTCTAAAAATTGTAACGACAACCCTAACAATGCTTATATGGCTTGAAAGGAAATTTCATTTTGCACACGACAGAGTAAAGAAATACAAGCTGTTCCATTTAAGTTAACAAAGTTATAGCTGTTTGAAGTCATTAAAATGTAACAGCAAAAATTAAACACCTAGTATAAATGTTTTAATTTGTTGGCATACCATAATTTAGCGTTATCTATGCCCTTTACAGGTACCAAAAATCCACTTGATATAAGGCTCCTGAAAAGAGTTACTAGCATCTTCGCGGACCCTTGCATCTGTCAAATTTTTTCTTTAATAATTAATATCTCAAAATCTATAATCTCTAGGTATAGGGAATATTTGTTTAGTTTAGTTAATAAAGTGACCCTCAAATTTCACGTAGAATACGAAAATGCAATAATATAAAGGGTGTCCTATTTAAAATAACGCAGTTGGTGTCGACTTCCGATAAAGTGCTGGAGAGTTCTAGATATTTTAGTTGTATTCGCCCTAGGGACATTGCCATTTTACCAAATTTTCAAATTTTTCGGAGCAATACTTTCCTAGATATCGATCGATGCAGTTCCCTGTATATTTAAAATCGTAGTGACTAACAAAATTGTTTAACGTAAATATCAAGATTTGTATTTATACCTGTATTTATTAAAAAGTTTAATTCTTTATAAAATGAAAATAATGTAATAGAATACTGTTTTTACTTAATGTATAATAAAATTTAAATTAAATTTGTTATATGTATTTCAATAATGAAGCATGGGACCTATACTGTTTTTTAGATCAACTGATAAATATAATTGTGTTTTCTTATTATTCACAAAACTTTCAGTTTTCTTAAAGTTACTACATTGAAGTTTTAAAAGTGGAATGTTATCAAATTAGAAGTAAAATGTACACACTATGAAGAAAAATTTATTTTTCCAAAAAAACATGATTGTGAAAAAATATATATTTTTCAAATATATGTGGAACCCTTGTTGATATCTCAGGGTTGACCGTCCCTATTTTAATTTATTATTTCGCAAATTTCATTCCATTTTTTTTGTCCCATGCTTCATTGTCACATTGTCACACTTTTAATTTTGTGTAATTTTCACCGTCCCAAAAGTAATCTTGTAACTAAGCAAAGTTTAACTTATTACCTTCATCTTATTCAAGAAATAAATGGAAATACTGTTTGGATATTATTTTAGTTTTCTGTATCTTGGTATGAAGTATTTGTTGTACGATTTCTTTTTTTACATAGCACCAACTGTCATAGTTTATATTATCTGTAAAAATAATTTGCATACACAGCTTTTTCACAGGAAATCTGAATTTTTTTAGAAACCATCAAAAAATTCCTGTTTGGAAATTGAAATCATGATAAATTTAGATAATTCAAGTGTTTGTTTAAATTCTGATACTGATTCCGGAAATGCCTTATTCAAAAAAGAGTTGTAATTTATTTATACCTCGGTTTAAAAACAAACTGGAAAAATCATATATTTTTAGGAAAATGGAATTACACTTGTCTTAAAAATAAACAACATACTTATGTATATGTATACCGTTCATTTAAGTGTTCTTGATAAAGGTATTAATTGGTTTATAATGTTGGCTATAAAAAACAATACAGAGTGTCCCAGTGTCAGCGTTAAAAAATTCACCAGGGGGTAGACCAGACCAAAATAAGATTAAAATTCTTATAAAATATTTTTCTGCTATGCACTCTCACTGAGTTACAGGGTATTGTTTAGAAAAAAATAATAACAACTTTCCACAATAACTCAAAAACATCTATTAAAGGTCATTAAAACTACATGGTGCCTATTTCAATCTGACGCCAGGGGCGGCCTAGTCCAACTTGTCCTCAAGGTTATGTCTTCATAACTTTTGCATATCCTAGTTTTGTGTAATTTGATTAAGTGTTCCTGAAACTGCAATCGATTCTGAACAAAAAATGTGCTCTAGTTTCTTAGCTCAAAAATGAACCGTTTTCGAGTAAATTGGATCTCAAGTATCGCCTGCATTAATTCCTAGAAAATGCACGTAAAGATTTTATTTGTTCTTATCTAGTAGGTACCTGTCATTATAAAAGACAAAGTTGTTTACAATCGTACATGTCAAAATTAATTACAGTACCCGAAGTTACGAGAAAATAAGTTTATGAAACAATATATTAGTATTATGAAATTTTCCAACAACGAATATGCCGATATGATATTTGCCTACGGTTTCTGTGATGGAAATTCATTGGTGGCCCCACGAGAGTATCTATGCAGGTTTCCAAACAGAAGGCAACCTTCACAGCATGTATTCCAATGAGTTTTCCAAAGAGTCCGTGAGACCGGGAGTGTTAAAATTGGAAATACCAGAATAAGAGGTATTCCATGAAGCAGCGTTTGGAGAATTTTAAGCCGAGAAGAACTGCACCGATACCATCTACATAAAATACTTTGCATCCTGATCATTCCGAAAAAAGGATACAATTTTGCAGGTGGTTGTTAGAAAATATCGAATGACAAAAATTTCTATCAAAAGATATCTGGATCTGATCCATTGAAAATCCGCATGTAACATGACCCTCCCCATTTTAAAGAAGATTCTACATATATGTCTGAGGAGGAATCTTCCACGGAGTTATTGTGGCTCCTCAAATTATTGTAGACCGTTTGAATTCAGAGAGATACAAGGATTTCTTAGAGGATATTGTTGATGACATACTAGATGACGTTCTCTTAGCTTTGCGAAATCAGATGTACTACCAACAAGATGGATCACTCGTAACGGAAGACAAGTATCTGTGTGGCTCGATTTACATTTTCCAGAACGCTGGATTGGGAAAAATGGACCCCTATTATGTGGCCTCCCAGGTTTCCTCACCTCAACCCGCTTGAGTTTTTTTACTGGGGTCATATGAAGAAACTGGTCAAATCCAGTAACACGAGAGACGATTTACTTCAAAAAATTAATCCGATCGCCGAGCAAATTCAAGTAACCCTTGATTTGCAAAGGGTTTACAAATACTTGGTCAAACGATGTCGGGCATGCATTGAAGTAAATGGACAGAATTGTGAGCATTTATTGTAATCATTGTTTTCTATTTTTATTTTTAATATTGTAATTTTGCTAACATAATTTCGATTCTGTTACATAATTTTCAATTTTATTTTTAATTTCCCTATATGTAACCAAATAATAAATAATTCATAGAAAACTTGTTTAGTTTCTTCATATTCATTGAGCCGCAGCTACATGGGAAACTGTACCTCAACGGTAAACAACTTGTTTTTTATAATGATAGGTACCTGCTAAATAACAAGAAATAAAATCTACATGCATTTTTCTACGAACTAATGCAGTCAATAGTTTAGATCCAATTTATTCGAAAACGGTTCATTTTTGAGCTATGAAACAAAAGCACATTTTTTGTTCAGAATCAATTGCAGATTCAGGAAAACTTAATCAAATTACACAAAACTAGGATATGCAAAAGTTATGAAGACATAACCTTGAGGACGAGTTGGCCCCTGGCGTCAGATAGAAATAGGCACCATATAGTTTTAATGACCTTTAACAGGTGTACACTTCACCCAAAAATTACTTAAATCCCTAAAAGGGTCTATGAGTTATTGCGGAAAGTTATTATTTTTTTCGAAACAGCATCCTGTAACTCAGTGAGAGTGCATCGCAGAAAAATATTTTATAAGAATTTTAACCTTATTTTGGTCTGGTCTACCCCCAGGTAAATTTTTGTACACTGACATTGGGACACCCTGTATAGAATTATTTTGCAGCTCTTTCTCAAATGGGAATAGTAAAGTAATGAACATTTTCTATAGTAGGATCATATTCGATGCAAAGTAATAAATCATTGCCTGTCAAGGGAACCAATGAAGTACGCTTTTAAAGGGTTTTACAAATTGAATAATTTCTTTATACATTATGAAGGGACGAGGGGATCAGTTCAGGTCTGGCACCCTTGTTCCTACAAAAATTCCTTTATTCTCATAAACTATTTATTTTAAATGTAATTTATTATAAATCCAATTTGTTTCCTAAATTCCACATATGTACTACATTTTACCTCTGTACGCGCCACTGTTGTTTACTTGTTTTTTGGAAGCGCTCTCTAATTGACGGCAAAGCTCGCCAGGTTAGTATTTGACGTATAACCGACCAGTTCGTACACTCGATGCACCTGGGCGACTACAGCTACTACCAGAACACAGTGCGTATGCAGCGGTATTTCAGATTTTACATTGAATTTCATTTTAAATTTGAAATGATTTATCTTACGCCTCCTAAAAATGATGACACGATTTTCCTTTGATAAAAGACCGACAACTTTTTGCTCTACTTTGCATCGAATATGATCCTACTATAGTAATTATTATTTTACATTACTTTCATGGATTACAGAACATCATTTTCTTGATAATGTTTTAATAGGTACAAAAACTAGAGGTTTCTTTAGGTGACACCACTAGCCGTGCAATGTTGGTTTTCTAGGCTCGGTGGCCACGTGACTTGTAACTGTTTATAAAGGCTCTATTAGTCATGAATTGTATATATGAAATTGACGTAAAATGTTCAGTTTTCAAACATAGCATCCTTATTGTGAAAAAATAGTGTTTTACTGGTGTTTTTCCATGTATTTATTTGATCACTTAGTAATTTTATCTAAATTTTATTACTGGATGTAAAATTGCTTTCCTAATTTATTATTATTATTATTATTTTTTTAGGTTATCCATTGTACTGGCCACATAGTTAAGTCAAGTGCAGATAAGAAAGAAAATACGGAAAAGGGAAGAATGCAAAGTTGCTTTGTTGCCGTTGGTCAGCCAATACCCCATCCCTCAAACATAGAAGCTCCCCTACCACGTCAAACATTTTTGACTAAACACAGTTTAAATATGAAATTCACACATGCTGATGATGAATTGTAAGTAAACAGGGTCAAAATTTAAACGACGAATTAGTAATTTCAGACAATCTACTTTTCTTGGCAATCCATAGCATATTTAGTGTGTATGAAGAAACCGTTGAATAACAAAAAAATTATGTTTCATTATTTTGTTTTCTGTACAAATACAAATATTGTGCTTGATACGTCAACTGAAATTCTAAAAACTGAAAATTGTGTAGTATTTCTTTAAAAAATATATTTTTGTAACAAGAACTTATAGAAAAGTATTAAGTCCAGTAACTAAAAATTTTCTTTACTAGTACTGCTAGTGGTACTTAAATATACAGCAGTTAATATAATTTTTTATTTTGTGATTTTCTGTAACATGTATTAAAGAAGCTGGATATGCCGCAATTTAAAAGCAGTCAGCTTTTAAATATGAGAAATGTATTTTGAGAGAAAACTTATTTTTAACCAACAATCCACATCATATGAAGATTGACCTCATTTTAAAAGTACACTGTGTAAAGCCTGAAATTTGAATAAATTTATGCAAAAAATGCCAGGGCATGTAAATTTTCATAAAGCGCGTCTCCAGATGGGGTACCACATTCTTCTAAACTCTTTTATTGTTGATTTTTCGAGAAAAAATTATTCTTGATAAAAAGTTTTGCTTATCTTGGAAAGCCATGGGCAGTAATCAAATGTGTAATAAAACAAACAGGGAGCTAAGTCAAAATAGAAGAATAATCACGTTTTGCAAATAGAAGTGATTTTTAACTGTCTTACTTAAAGCAGACAGAAATTGTAAAAAGTAAGTAAACTTATTTTTAATTTAATATATTATAAAAATAGCTTGTAAACCTCCAGGTAATACATATCTTTCTAATCTTTTTCTAAATTCCTTGTACACAGACATGTTAATTTCCTCGTTTATGGGGGTAACAGCTTCCTGAATGTTTTGCTTAAGTAAATTAATGCTCTCATCAAAAACTTTTTGCTTTAGGTATCCCCATAAGAAATAATCTATTACGGACATCCGTCCTACTGAAACATTAGTTTTCTTCTGAACTTTAAATTTTCGTTATCTAGTTCTGCCAAAACAAAATTATTGAGAATTTCCAAATACGAATTTTGATTAAGATTTTCTTCCAAAAAGTAAGGACCAATTATTTTGCGATACATTATGCCACACCAGACATTTACTTTTTAAAGTTTTTTACTATTAGTTATTAATCATAAATATGTTCACTTTGACATTGATAAGGAAATATCCATGATAATTATGCAAAATTTCACATTTTGTTTTTTTCTGGACACCCTGTATGTTTATTGCATATTTGATTATTGCACATGGCTTCCCAAGATAAGCAAAACTTTTTATCAATAATTAGTTTTTCTCGAAAAATTAACAATCAAAAAAATTGACAAGAGTGTGGTACTCCATCCGGGGACACACTGTATACAAAGGATTCCGCACAAAAGCAATGAAAAAAAAACTTCGTCAAATTGCTTGAAACTGTGGAATCAAGTAGGTAATATTATGATGTAGATCAAAAGTTCCCATGGGCCCGACCACCGTCTATGCACGGTTTCAGCGATACGTGAGCTGAAAGTCACTCAATATAGCCAAATCTGCACTTAGCATTACTCAGAGTCAACGGCGTGGACGCGGTAGATGTTTGACCCCATGTGTGTGTGTGTGTGTGTGTTAAGTGTAATGTTTCAATATCCAAGTAGACAATCTTTGATGATGTGATTCGCCCTCGAAAACATTGGATTTGAGGCTATTGCCCGAGAAGATTATATAGAAAGATATGTGACTCCATTTGCAAATCGTTTGTATAATCCTGCACCACAGAAACTAAAAGCAGTCACCTATATTAACTGCACTTACATAGATTTTGAGAAGAGCTCTTGTTTTAAACCACTAAGACAATCACTCTGTGTCCACAAAGGAAACATTTGGTGAAGCCTTCAATGATAGTTGCTCCTGGTGGCTATATATTAGACATTTGAGGTCTTTATTTTCAAACGCAGCTAATGACGATGCCAGAATTCTCCTGAACGAGTTTAATAGAGATGTTAATGGAATGTGAGACTGGTTTCGACAACAAGATATATGTATTGTAGATTCCCACCTTACAGAGAATTGGTTTGAATACGAAAATGACACCACTACTACAATCAAATCAGATTCAATTCTCAACTGAAGAGGCAAGACTAATAACCAAAACAAAATGGATAGTAGAGGCTCGAAACGGACATCTCCAAACGTTGTTCAGGAAAGAGTAGGATTAGGCTGTTTTTTTTTTTATTCAGATGTGCCACGGTTCATCAATTATGGATCTCATTTACTCAAGAGTATGTAAATCATCCTGAAACTGAAAATGAAGATGAACCCATTCTTGGTTACTTCTATACCTGTAAACAAGAAGCAAACCCTTTAGGAACATGTGCCCATGTAGCGGCTACTAGATGGTACTTAGGGTATGCAAGATATGAAGATAATGTGAAATATCCTTCACTCCGAGTTCTAATGAGTATAATCGATTTTTCAGGATGAATAATCAAAATCAAAACATTGAGATAATAGGTCCTCTATTCCTAACAATTCTCGGAGAACCAGTTCAACTTCAATGAGAGTGAGGATCACTGAGTATGGCGATTTTTTATTATACTCGAGCGAAGACGTGCCCACTTTCGCACACATACGCTTACGTATGCACGCACACACACACACACACACACACACACACACACACACACACACACACACACACACACACATAGGGTAACGAACGCTAAGTGCAGATTTGTCTATATTAATTGACTTTCAGCTCATGTATCTTCGAAACCGTGCATAGGCGGAGGTCGGGCCCATGGGGACTTTTGATCTACATCATATCACCTACTTGATGCCACAATTTCAAGCAATTTGACGAAAAGTCTTTTTCCATTGGTTTTGTGCGAGGTCGTTTGTTAAATTTTACATTTAGTTGTATATTATGGATTCAAGGTTATTATTTGACAATAGTAACGTCTAATTTATTTAATCAGAATTCAGTAGAATTTGCTCTTCTCAAGTAAACATGGGAACAAATACCTTAACCTCACTATTCATGAACATCATAAATATATTGATGTTATTTATTTTCAGTCAAACAGGTATAATGAATGAAAACCAGATTACGTAGGAAGTAGAACCTTATTGTTATAAAAAATATTGATTAATGCCCGTTTGCACCAATATTATGCTAAGAACACTTAATAAAGCCATTTTTAAAATTATGTTCATTTGTTATTGCACCCAACAATGGTAAATCGTACTTTGTAAAGTGTATCTTTATAGCAGCAACAACGCAGAAGTCTAGTGACTTTTACTAACATTCATTACTTCATATTAGGTCCTTCAGTCTTTTTTGTTTTTCCTCATTTCACATCACGGACCGGTCATAAGACCATAGTAGTAAAAAGTAAAAAGCATTAATTTTGATTATTAATCTTTTCAACATCTAGAAATCGTTTGTGAATACATATCTCCGATACCACCAACAATAATTAAATGCCCAGCCATTGCATAATAACATAATTTTTGATTCATAAATATACATATACAAAAACTAACTTGTGATTAGGGAATTATAATTCATCCTCTATTAATGGTAGTATGTAGTAAGTTTGTTTTGTAGGACAAAATAGTCTGAAAAAATTAAACTCGTCCATAGTCTGAAAACCCATAGTCTACAATTTCTAAAATATCTAAGTCATCTTCATATATTCATTTTTATATTTCTTTTAAATTAAAAATACAGGTACAGTGATACACATGCATATAACTATTTCGTATTTCTTGCCGCCCTGCATAGTTGCTGAGTTTGTGAGCAATTTTTGCACAGGCTCCAAATATGGCGTAAATTAAAAAATGTTTTAAGTAGCTGTTAAAGGGATCGCTTAAATTTAGGCATCTCTTTTCATACTTAAGAAGGGCTTAGCAAATGGTGCAATGAATGAAGCCTTCTAAGAATGATTTTATTATCAGCTCTCGCATGTTTTTACTATTTTTTAAAAGTGAAGGTGAGTCAAACAAATTCAATAAAATATATATTTGTTAAATTTGTCAAATGAAGTCAAACAATGTTCATCTTAAGGCAGAGATCCCCAACCTTTTTGCGCCTAAGAGGACATTCTAGAATGAAGGTCAAGCGGCGGGCACCATTTATTTTTTCAAGGTAAATTTATAGTTGGACTTTGGTAATAATACATGTAATATACAAAAAAATATTTAATTTGAAAAATATTATTTTAACATATAAAAATTATTACTACATATTTACATTTATTTTTATGTAAAATAAATTGGCAATGTTTATTAACGTTGGTGACGCAACGATCCCGAATAGCTTACTTCACTTGTTTAGACAATGCCGTGTGGACCTTTTCTGTCAAAATAAGTGTTTAACCAAAAATCAAATTGGACTTTTCCACAAAAAAAACTTTTCTCAAAGATAAAAAAATTGTAATATCGAAAGATAAACTGTAAAAATATATCAAACACAAAAAATAAACAATAATAAGGGTTTCAAAACACAAATGTCAAAAAGCACATTAACAAAGAAGTGAAACTCATTCGCTAATTATTTCAGTTCAAAAATATTGCAATAGGTAACCAAAATTAACGAACATCACCAATAATTGTCATACGCCTCTTTTTTTTTTAAATCGATTAGTCACAGACTATTTTGTTTCCAAATTGTCACAATAATTTTCAAGATCATTTTTACGTGCAGCATTAGAAGTGAGAGAGCTACTTAGATTTTTTAAAGATTCACAAGCTTGGGACAATTTAGCATCTAACTTACCTAATTTAGAGTTCCATTTTTCCCCAACTTGTTAAGAAATTCGTACATATTTTATTTATAAACCTTTCCAGATTATCTTCTTCTGATTTAACACTCCATATATAAAAAATCAAGCATGTTTGAGGAAATCTTCATATGAAAAACCCCACTTATTTTTAAAAGATCTGTCGCATAGTCTCAGGTCTAAAGTTATATCTTTTTGTGTTATAAATTAACCTACAGTTTGTAATACAGCTTCATACTTTTTTAGCATGAAAAACATCTTGGGTTATGAACCTGACGACTTGCTGGGAAAGTCCGTATATGAATATCATCACGCAATGGATAGCGATTCCATTTGTTCAGCCTACAAATGTTGTAAGTACTTTTTAATTTTTTTGTTGATAATGGAAAATAGAAATATAATTAGTGTTAATTATATTAGAATTATTAGAAGTAGCATTCAAAATTGACAGTTGAATGTAAAAATAGCGCACTCTATCCTAAAAATTGAATTTATTTTATATTCTTACAATTATAAAGCTATATTTTTATAGTGATTCAAAATTACGGTCACTTAATCAACAATAAAAGAAATTCATTTTTTGCACCCTCGACATCTTCGCTAGTCAGTTTGTGGCACATTATCAGAGTCCACTTTGACAAGACTAAGACTTTTACTTGGACATATTCTATTTCTCAGTTTTCAGTATACAAGGTGTTCGGAAATAGTGATACTTCACTTTGAGGGTAGATTTGTCGACTCAAAATAAGAGAAAAATTTCATATAAATATGGGTCCGCAAATCCACCCTAGCTGTAGATGAGTTTCAAGGTAACTTTAAATAAATGGGTTTTTGCCAACAACTTTGAACTGCTTTGTAGAAAAGGGATAAGTTTTGGGTGATAAGTTACTACTAAATAGAGGTGGGTCGTACTCGTATGATTCGTATCATTGATACGAATCTTTGCAGTGATACGGGTGGTACGAATCCTTAAGAAAAAAAAGATTCGTATATTTCTTACCACCGCATCGCGACAGTATTATCGTATAAGGAGTCAGAGTCTCGCATTGGAACGAAATACAGCGCGGTGCGGTTGGTAGTTAGGATTGATACGAATCTCAGTACGAATTCAGAACTGTGGTAACGGTATCGTGATGTGGCGTAGGTACAACACGGACTTTTGTTCTACTTTAGTTACTTTTCTAGCGTCGGATTCGAATTGCACGGACGCTCGCATTGCGAATGAACTGATATACCGGATATTTTGTGAAATAAACTAATACATTTTTTGTTCCACCAAATTAAAAGAATATAGGTATAATACATTTTATTACACTATAAAATTAACAATATGAAACATAAATATTAAATAATAAATATCAATGCAAAAATAAAACAAAACAAACGCAACACAACCAATAATTGACTAAAATCAAATCTGACTCTTTGGCATATTATAATATAAAATAATTATAGTATGTTAAGTGGCAAAATAACAACAAATAAAATAAAATGATAAATAACAAATAGCAGAACTAAAAAAGTTCTGCTATTTATTACTAAAAAAGTTATTTAAATGTTTAAGTGTCTTGCATTAAAATTTATGAACAAGAGTTGTGACACTTTATTTGCACTTAATCTTGAGCGTTTTTCTTCAATCGTTAGACCCCCTTTAGAAAAAACCCGCTCCGCTGGCACCGAAGTGGCTACAATGCACAATCTTTTTTTCATTGTCTGAAATAAACGTGGATATATAGATTGTCTTTTGTACCACCACAACAACGGATTTTCATATCTTTTTAAAAGTGGCTCTTGAATGTATCGATTGACTTCTAAAATACTTGCAGCTGTTAAGTTTTTATTCCCCGTAAATTGATCCTTTGTTTTTTTGTCATATTCGCTCCAAATAGAAAGTTTTTGGGCTGTATCTGCTTTGGGATTATCTGCTACTTCAAGTTGATTTTCCTCTTCTTGGAGTATAACGCCAGCGCAAAGCTTTTCAACGGATTCTTTGGCTTTTTTATAAGTATTGTCGTTTGAAAACCCCTGTCTTTTAAAACGAGGGTCTAAAAATGTAGCTTCGGCAAGAAGTAAATTATCTTCAATATTTAGAAATCGTTTTTGTATTTGATTTACCAATGTTGTTGCAAAATTTTTACTCTCTAATGGTTGATCAACGTCATTTTGGAGGTTTTGACAATGCTGTAATATGGCTTTGCTTAATACTAATAATTTGGATATTGTTACGTTTTCTTCCGCGCTTATTTCCACTGTAATTTCCTTGAAACATTCTAACGCTTTACAGGCATTATCAACTATTTTCCAGTCTATGTTAGTTAATGGTTCGTGATCAAAATTTTCTAAAAGTGCTATCGTTGTGATTAGTGGCTCTTTTATTTCTAGAATTCGAGCAAACATTTCGTACGTTGAATTCCATCTAGTTACAACGTCTTGCTTTAATGTCAATTCCTTGTAACCCATTTGTTTTTGTTTTTCTTTTAATTTTGCAGTTGCTAGAGGACTTCTTTTAAAAAATGCGACGATTGCCTTTACTTTTGATTGCACCTGTGAAATTTCTAATAGAGCAGTTTGTATCATCAAGTTTAAAGTATGTGCATAACAGGGAAGGTGCATGTGTTTCAACCCGCATGCACGGACGGACGCTGTTACATTTGCAGCATTGTCTGTGACTATAGCTACAACTTTGGTATCAACTGACCATTCTCGAAGGATGCGTTTTGTTTCAGTCGCTAAATTTTCGGCAGTATGTCTGTCAGAATATCGAAAGCAGTCTAACAAAAAAGATTTCATACAACAGTTTCCATCAATAAAATGAACAGTAAATGCTATGTAGCTATCGTTACTCAACGATGTCCATCCATCCGTGGTAACTGATACTGATGTAGCTGTATTTAACTGCCTTCTAACTTCTTCAGCCACTTGATTATACAATTGAGGAAGTAAATTATTTGAAATGGTTTTTCTTGTGGGCAATGTATAACCGGGATTTAGCATATTTATTAATTTCTGAAATTCTGTATTTTCAACGATTCTGAACGGGTGATACTCTGCCGCTATCATTTTTAGTAATTGCATATCTATTTTATGTTTTTTATTTTGTGAAACGGGCCTATTAGTAAATTGAGGATCATCAATACGTTGCTGCGAATATGTCTTCCTCGACCTCTTGGCGCTTGTACTAGCCATTGTATTATTGCAGCTATTATTATTATTTGCGACATTTTGTTTTTCTAGTGATTCTTGTGTATCTTTGGTGATATCGACAATATTGCCATTATCTTCATCACCACGTTCTGTATTAGTTAATCTAATATTATCCTGATTTAAATTAACCGAGGGATGTTTATTTTTAATATGACGTATTAAATTGGCAGTTGAACCACCTTTAGTTGAAAAAAAAGTTGCACAAAAATTACATTTTGCCTTTATAGGCGAAATTTTTTCGAAGTGGTTCCAAATAAAACTTCTGGTTTTATTCATAATGTGTTATTCTCACCTGTAATATTTAATATATTTTAATTAAAGACTCTACAATTTTAAAAACCATTTAAATATAACCTCAGAACTCAGAATCTCACAATCCAAGAAAATAGCAAACGGTACCGGTACGAAATACGAAATGAATGGCTAGCAGCGCAGCCCACCGCAGTGGTGCTGATACGAAACGTACGAATCTCATGGTACGAGTCTTTCCTTGGTACGGATTCGTTTGGTCCGAATCACTAAAAAGATTCGAATCGCCCAACTCTACTACTAAAGAGGTAGTACAAAAACGTCCAGAAATTAACTGAACAATTTTTTTTTATTTGATAAAAATGTGTTTGCACGCCATGGGTTATCAACTAATACCCTCAAGTAATCATGTTTCTTAGTAGTAACTTATCGTCCAAAACTTATCCCTCCTTCACAGCAGTTAAAAGTTATTGACATAAACCTATTTATTTAAAGTCATCTTCAAACGCGTCTACCTCCTGTAGGATGGATTTGCGGACCCATGTTTATATGAAATTTTTGTCTTATTTTGAGTCGACAAATCTACCCTCAAAGTGAAATACCACTATTTCCGAATATCCAGTACACAAGTAATACATATTTTTTTTGTTTTTCAACACAATAAGAAGTAGAAAAGTCGACATAAAAAAATTACTAAATTGCTTGTTACTTGAAATGAATTTCTCAAATGTGTATACCATGTAATTCAGTTTTAATTGAATCATAATTAGCTAAATCATATCAGCATTTAGCATCATGTCTACAGGTCTATCATATCAGCAAAATTTTGATAAAGGATTCTATAATCGTTAACTTCATTGCCATGACAAACCTGTAGTGTGACGACTCCACTCTTACTTTTAGGAAACACAAATATCAAGTAGAGGTTAATTTTTCATATTTAATTTTGACATTTCGGCAGTTTACAGAAGTTATCCACATTTGAAGGGTATTTATCTAATGTAGTTTATAAAAAATGTGGGTACACGCTTTTTTCTACTATTTTAAAATTTTAAAATATGCGACATTTATCCCAGTCCACAGAAAGTATAATTATGTCATAGTTCGATATATGTCCATGCTCAGCGAGAGTTTCTTCCCTTGTTTGGGTGGTCCATTAGGTATAAATTATAACAAATTGAAATGATATTCAACGTAATATATTTAGAATTTCTTAGAAAAGAAATTAGCACCTCATTTCTAAGGAAGTCACGAATTAACAAGTTCCAACATTTTTTCTGCTATATTTCATAGTTGAGTCTAGAATAGAGATCTTATTGGTATACAACTGGTTGACTGGTTCTTACAATAACACAGTTTACTTTAATAAATCTGTGTAATAAATTTAAAGCCACTATAGATTATTATAATACTTAGTACCGCATGGCGTCCTTTTTTTTAATAGGCTTGTGTATGGAATAAAAATAATACACGTGTCAAAATACATTACACCATCCAAAATATGTTGAAAATTAAAAAAAGAAACACCAAACTAAACTTGTTAATATGACAGGTGACAGAGAGTTTAGATGAATATGGTAAATATTAGGAGTAAAGTAGATAATACTGTGCTATAACTTTTTAAAGTCTTTTATTTGTTTGATTGCACTAAATTTGCACATTATGGTTGACAAATAAGTAAATTATCTCCTAAACAGTCGCTACTATTAAAAAACACCAACACTTTTCATTCATTTAACGTAACAGTACCTGAATGTAACATTATTTCTACAAGAAATTGCTAGTGGCGTATTCTTTTCTTGGGAAAACGAAGCGGCACCTTCAGTAGCATGCCACTGATTAATGCCACGAGGTTAATATTACATTCAATAAAAGATCTTATTAAATGAATATGCTGTCGTAAATTCCATTCAAATCGTTCAGCGCAATATGAAGATATGACAGAAGAAATATATATTTTTTGGAAGCTTGAACATCTTGTATCTTGAATACCACATCCCCCAGGAAAAAAGTTTAAAGAGCAAATTCTACTTATTTTTTGGCAGGCAACTAATCTATTCTTGCAGTTTCTCTATTTAAACGGAAACAACTAATATATAGTCTAAAGAGTGAAAACCTATATTTTCAGAAAGTATTATTTGGTCATTAGTGTTAGAAAATAAAATGTTTTATATAGGATATATTTTTTTGATATACGATATCTTAAAGTTAAAAAAAGATGCGATATTGTTTGTAATCTCTAATAAAAATGTTTTTTTTTATTAGGATACTCGTATTTCAGTAGGGGACTCCCTACTGGAAAATTTTAGTATCTTACATAATTACCTATATAATAATAATTGCAATTCAAACAAAACCTCTTAATTTTATTTTAATAAATAAAGAAAAAAGTCTTAGTAATTAACTGAATATAGGAATATAGGCATTTATTTTTAAAATATTCCCAGTAAAATTAATTTGAATTGTACAATTTATACTATACTGCAACAGAAGTAAATCTAATTGGAAAAAATATTGTTATTGTTATTTATTAATGTATTTATTGTAAAGTATCCAATGGCCATAATACTTATTTAAAAAATAATTTGGCAAGTCTAATAAAGATGAATTATAAAATTATTACAACTACTGTATAAAAATAGATACTTACATAAAAGTGTAAATGAAAGTTCAGAATATACAAAAACAAAATAAAATTCATATTAAATTTATAATTAATAAATAATGGTTGAATAAAATTCCATTTCTTGAAATTTGACATAAAACTCTCTTAAGATATATCATACTTTTCAGTTCTGGTTTGCGTTTATAAAATTTTTTTTATTTGTCACTTACGAATTACATTCTTGTTAATATTTTGTATTTATTATTGATTAAATAAGATTTGTGAAACTTAGAAAACATTTTCCCATATAGTTATTTAATTGATATTTATTTAATTTAAAATAAGTATGCAAAATATGATCTAAATCTAGTAAATAATATATGTTACAAAATGACAATACAAAATTTAATTATGTATTTGTTGTATCTGCAAATATTGTAACTAATAGTACAAGTAATATGGGTACATGTGTTGTTGATTTTTTGGCACCACTACATAATGTATTATTTATAATTTCCAATTCGTACTGATATTTGATTGCGGAATTAACCAGTAATGTATCTATTTTCTTCATTGTGTCTTCATCAGATAGATCTCTCACTAACGCAGCAAGTTCATCTGGAAAGTAATGGAAAGTAAGAAATTAATCTCAAATTTATTTTTACATTCTTAATTTTGTACCAAAAAACTTTAACCGACCCCTAAATTATATACAAAACTACACCCAAATGTATACAAAATGTTAAATATTTCCCGATTTACTTTGTCTGAACCAATTGAAGAAAAAAAATATGATGTAGAAGCAATTCTATAATTAAGATATAGCAGAAATGAAGAAAAATTGTAAATAAATAAAAGTAATCTTTTTATGGTTATTCATAAAAATTTAATTTTCAACTAATGATTTGTGGAAAATGGTTACTGTGCGGACCAAAGCAGCGTCCAACATAGAATACCCACAATATATATAATAAACAGTTAAAATTAACCATCGGCAGTGTTAAGATTGTTACTACATAATAAATATTTCTTTATTTTGTGTGAATTGTCCTACTAGTAGGAATGCTAAAACGACATGCACGTGTATTAGTATTGTCTCCCATTTATTCAAATTAAACAGTCCACTTTCAACTCTAGTTTCTATTCTACAATAAGAAAACCAGCACCTAGTTTTCAAACAAGCAGGATCACCAAACATAGATCAGTTTTGAACTTATTAGTTCTCATGGTAGTACACCATAGGTCAGCTGACTGATGAATAGTCTTGCTATTTAATTATGCAACAAGCCTTGAGAATCAAAGGCAATTAAATTATAACACATTTTGTTGGTTACATCTCACCCACTGTTTGATTTGCATTTCTAAATTCCATTAAGATCAAAGTTATTTAACATGATTGATAGTATTGATGGCTATATGACCATTCATTTAATGGGTAGCTTGCTGGAGAATTACAAAAATTGTACTTGATAGGTTGTTGCTACTTATTACGTATTTCCAAATATTTTTAACTCTTTATATAATGTAATAAATTCGTTCTTATTCTGATTGCATCTCCACATTTACAAAATTTGCATTGTTTAAAAGTTATTAAACTACACATAATTATTTATTTGAAAGGATTTATTAGAAGACAGGAGAAAATTTGTTATTTTAAATATTCAATTTTGGACGTAACCTGTGGCTTAGTTAGGATCACTGACTCGTTATTTTGGTGATTACCAAGGAATGGTAAAACTTATTTAACCTATAACTGAAAAATAAATAAAAATTTTATTGATAACATTTACACTAAATAAGAAACGGTGTCACATATGCACAGTATTTTTTTTTAACTACCTACTTATTTCCTGCAATTTCTTCAAAATACTTTACACATCTTAAATGTGAAAACATATTTTACTTACAATCTTTAGTGTCGTCTTTGCAGTTCCAGAGAATAGCAAATTGGTCTGCTGAATCTACATTAAAAAATATTGTAAGTTTGCCCCACACTGTAGATGTTCCATTTACTGTTAAAATGTTTGTATAGCCTGTATTTGTTCCATTTGGTAATAAATTTACATTACAAGCGGATATTTCACTATTCGGGCAAGTTACTTCGTATGTGGTGCATACATTATCAATCAGAAAATTGGTTGTCTTCTTATATTCGTGCCATCTTCCAATCATCTGAAATATATTTAATTTTAGTTTATGTTTTCTTGTGTGCATAATTTTGTTAGGGAATGTGAAATATTATGTTCATAGGGATTGAATTTTCAAACATTTTTTTCCATCATTAAAATTACAATTTAAAGACAAAGTAATAAAGACAAAGTTTGGGATATGAACTATTTAGAGCTATGAGTCTTCTCGGTTTGTGTCAATTAAAAAATATTTAGATCAATGGATCCGTCAAAGAGTATTTGTGTAAGGGTGAGTATTAAAATACTGGTTAAGACTTGGTTAAATAATCAGACTGTTAATTTCTGAATGGTCGTGCAACCATGGGAGGGCCTGGGTGAGCTATGGCGCATCTAGAAATATGCTGGCCCACCCAAATAACAGGAAGAACTTGTCAATGAGTATGGAAATATCAAAATGTGTAGTATTATAGTGGCCACATACAAAAATCATGTGACAAATATGCGAATATTTTCCTCGAACTCAGATGCTAATGTTATTCAGTCAAATAATGTAACAAAAAATCCTGACTTAAAACTTCTTTTGCCTTTTCTGAAGAATTTGTATATTGGTGTTTATCCCCTTCTTGCATCAGTTACCGCAATTAAACAAATTTAATTTTTGTAATCACTCTCATATTTTACTGCATATGACAGAATTGTGTAGCAATTTCCCTAAGATTATGTATATAGCGCGTGCATATTGAGACTACTTACTTATGGTTTATGCAGTTAAGAGCTTTATTTTAATAACTTATAATATTAAACGATATATATGAATATGAATTTCCAGAAAATAACCAATGATTGAACGTGTTTAAACAGTTGATAGTAATTAATTAAATAATTCAAAACATGTATTTTGAAATTACAAGTAAATAAATACCTGTGTTACATTTAGACTTGGCTTAATAGAATCCAGTGGACAGGAATCTTCACAAAGGGTTCTAGCACTTAAGAGTGCAAAACTCATTACTGTTATAAACTTATTCATTTTAAACATTTTCACTTAATCCCTCTGAAGTTAACTATAACACTATCACAAAAACCTCTTTTCAACATATCGAAGGTGAAACCAATATCATAATACATATTATCTATTATTTATATGTAGGTGTATAAATTTCGCCATCCCTTCCTATGGGATGCTAAATGTGGAACCGGAATTAGTTATCTTTTGGTTAAAGTACAGGTATTAGTAGAGTAAATCTATATTAAAAATACTATGAATACACAGACATACATATGTGGGGCAATATATCAATCAAATAAGGTATAAATATTTTGTACATAAAATTAAATAGTAAATGGTAAAAATGAAAATATGAATATCAAGAAGCCAACTAAGTATTTGAAACGTTTTTTTCAGAAAAAAGGCAAATAATTTTTATAATAACCCATTTTGCTACCTTCCATATGCAGGGTGTCCGCAAATTTCACCGACAACGTTTAACTGTATATTCACGACGATAAATAAATACGATCTACGAAAAAAAAGTTTAATAAAAAATTTTTGGTTTTTGAGTTACCAGTATAACTTCATAATCCTTTTACTGATCGCTTTAAAATTTGGCACATTTATTTGGACTATTATGGCATATTATTTCTCAAAGTTTCAATCGATGTACTGGGTGATAGTTTTCTCCAGTTACCTTTCTTTTGTAGCGGTCAAAACTTTTACAGTCAGAATCCTAAAGAAACACGACAATAATGACATTACCGGATAGCCACAGCAATCAACATCTTGTTTTCATCGCCTACTGAACTCAAAGTTTTAAATCCGTGACACTGCTACGCAACCGAAACGTACAGACCTGCAAATAATGCCACTTTTCTCAAGAATGGCATTCTGTAGGCGATTTTCTCAAGAGACAATATTTTTTTTTAAATAAAACGATCTTTTCAATGTTGCTTCCCGCTTTAAAAAATACGACCACTGTAAAAGTTTTAACCGCTAAAATGGAGAGGTAACCGAAGAAAACTATCACCCAGTATATCGATTTGACTAAAGTCTTAAGAAATAATACGCCGTAATAGTCTAAATAAATGTCGCAAATTTTAACGCGATCGGTAAAAGGGCTATGAAATTATTAATTAAATTAGTTTTATTTTTGACAACTTTGAAGGCCTGTAACTCCACAAAAATTTTTTATTTAACTTTTTTTTCGTAGATCGTATTTATTTATCGTCGCGAATATGTACTTAAACGTTGTTGGTGAAAATTGCGGACACCTTGTATAGCAAAGGATGATATTAGTGTATAAAAATTCCTTTAATCAGAATACCTGGGGAATATTAATAATAAATTAATAATTTTCAGTTGTAGACGTTTATTTGTCTGTAAATTTACCCAAACAGGAAAAGAAACTATCATATTTATTATAAATAACTTTAATATAACATATAATACTTACGTATTAGACACGTGGGTCTATAACATGTTCTTTTTGGGTGTCACTTGTATCTAACCCAGCATTTTATTTTTAGCTTATTTTTCAACCAACTCTGAGTTCAAGGCATATTATTTTTATCTATTTTTTGGGACTGTACTAGCATTTCTAGTAAACAATACCTATCTAATTTGAATTACAATTTCATAGTTTATTAGTTATTATTTAAACTTCAAGTCATTGTGATAAATATTTTTTAATATATTTAAACTTCAGGGGTAATGAAATTGGTTGTAAAATTTCTATAGGCTAGGAGATTTTATAGATTCTTGTTTTATTTATTTCTTCTACTCAAAATTATATTTTTATTATAACCCCGGCTCGACATTTCCGATCTTTGGGTCTAATATTATTCAATATCCGGGTAGTTTTCGGTAGTTTTGGCTCAGTGTATCAAAATAAAGCTCGATTTAATTTTTGTTAATGTGTGTGATGAAAAGTTCATTTTTCCCCTTGAATTTGTAACGCAAACATCGAAACACCCGTATATATTTTTTGTTTAACTGGCTTTTAGGCAATTAAGCAAATTTTTATATTCATTAACGTATATTTGTAACATTCATAATCATTCGTCTTCGTAAGTGGGATTCACTAGGTCCAAATCGGTCTATACAATATGTTTGCATTTGCAAAGAATCATTTCTTTAAAAATTTCAGATGAAAGGAATAAATGTTCATTCATGTAGTTTACTAGTAAATATTATATATAGAGACAAGAAATGTAGATCAACTTTTAAGAATTAATTTCAAGGACCTTGTTATTTTGATTTGTCATGTTTTTCTATTTGATATTTAAACCTGCTTCTATATCAGGTATGCTTTGCAAATTCGAAATAAGCAGAATTATGTATCATTAATAACGAAAGCTGTGTAAAAAAAAACATTCCTGTTGCAATAAGTGCAAAAATGAAAATATCATGAAGAAATAAATAACAAGAAGGATCAATGCTCTTGCAAATTGCAAACTAGACTCTATATTCATAATATGTTGATAACGATTTATTTATATTATTTACTGTATTAAAAAAACATTCTTGGAACATAAATTAATGGCACTGAGTTATACAATTCTCCATCGTAAATACGTTTGCCAAATTTTCGCAGCTACATGAAAAACTGCATGTACACAGAAAATATGTTCAATAACATTTTTGCTAATATCCTAAAACAGGTGTAGTTGTAGTTAAGACATCAAAAATATAAAAAAATCGCTTTAGTTGCTGAGAGAATTGTCTATTTTTATATTGATGTGTTGTAATGTATTAATGCACATATTTATATTACAATGTGATAGAACCTTTAAAATGTTACGTTCTGTGAAATTAAATTTGTACATTTGTTTATTTAATTATTTAGTTTCATCGAATATAAATAATTTGCGTTACATTGTGTTCATGGGCCAAGCTTTATAATCCTAGTTCAAAGTAAAATATTGTTACGAACAGGTATCTGATGACTACCTACTATCATTGTTGTGCATTGTTTATAATCTGCTGCTGCTGCATATCCGTATAAATAGTCATTTGAAATAATTTTGTATTTCCATTATCCGAGATGTCCTGTATCCTATTTAAAATTTAAAATACAAGCGTGAAATAGAATATCTTAATAATTATAATTTTTCTTAAATTGCAACATTCCATTCTCCACTCCAACACTTCATTTTCAGTGTATTTTATCAATTGCAAAATGCACAAAATGAAAAGAAACTTTTCATTTTAAAATTAATAGTCGCCTTTACCAGGACCTTACATTTTATAATTTAAATATGACGGCTTTTGAAATTCTCTCCTTTATTATTTATGAAAAATCTGAAAAGCTGTGCCAAAACATGGAATGTTTATTTTACTGCTTTATTAAATTCTGTGAAGACTGGTATTATTGAAGCCAAAATGCGGGTAATAATGTAAGTACATATAACGAAACACGTCAGATTAGCTTTTTTAGGTTACTAAAAGGTACACGTTATATAGGTACCTAAGTGATGTGTTTTTATTTAGGGGTTTTGGAAGTTCCGTCTTTTCGACAGCTTTGAGTTGTTCCATTTCACTTGTGATTGATGGATGACATGTTTATTTATTCAGTGAGAATTAGGAAGCGATAAGTACGGTTTTGTTGAAAGCATTTAAATATGAAATGGAACAGGCATATAAAAATATGGTACTGGTATTTTGAACATATATTTTTTTTATTATTTATTTTAAATTAAATTGATTTAATAATTAAAAATATTATTTCTTCTGATACGTTTGTAAAAGGATCACATTTCACAAATCGATCTTTCCTCGTAATATTTAGATTTTTTTTTTGTTTTGGTACCAATTTTTCATATTTATTATTTCTTTAAAATATCAACTACTACATGTTAACTTTTACCACAAACATTGTAGAATTCCTTCTACATCACAATTGTTTGGCCGTTTGCTTTAATTCTTCTAGATAATTTTTAAACAGATTTTATGCGTTTACATTTTTATTTTTAACAATTCTCGATTTACACTTAAGTATTTACTATTTAATGAATTAGAAGCAAATAAAGATAAAACTTTAAATGATTATTTCAGGAAAATACGTTTGGGTTTTTTGCCGATTTTGTAAAATTAAATTTAATGTGAACGTGATGTCACGAGACGTGATATGTGACGTGTTTTGCCTGAAATTACATTTATTCCTCCAATTATTTTCATGGCACACTTGGCAATTCTCTAATTTTTTTGAAACGCTCATTCACGAGTATTTTGCGGATTTTACTGTAAATCTTTTCACGAACGTCATCATATTTCGTGAATTCAGAAGAAATTTCTCTACACAATTAAAAAGTAAAAATATCGTTAATATTATCAGAACAGTTAACGCTAATCTTTTGTCGTACCAAAAATGGCGGAGTCTTAGTTTTTTTCGGACACACGGTATAAGTAATTTTACCTATGCCAGTGCACATTAAAGTTGCGAGGTATTTATTATTTCAGACAAAGAAAATAAATTAGTTGGCAAACCAGTGCCAATTCTTGTAATAAAGCTTTCTTTGTTACGGTGAACTCCTATGAAAAACCAAACTAATTATTAGATTTTGAAACATAAATAATCTTCATTGTTCATGCAGTAAAAAATTCTAATATGTGCATGAAAATAAAAATAATGCACTTATCTTAAATAAATAGAAACAGCAAAATTAGCTAGCGCACCATTGGCAGCAAATGCAACATGGTAAATTAAATTTGCAATTACTAGCTGAATGATGCTTAAACTAAATAATTATTTAATTTCGTAGAATTAAAGTTAATTATACAATTTCATTTATTGGCGGACAATTTGGAACGCTAGCAAGTAAAATTCGTTTTGTTCCTAAAACGTTCGAAAAGTTTTCCACATCACATTTTGCTACTGTAGCAAAATTCGTAGTAGCCCCTTTAATTGGTCGTATCCAAAACTTCCAAACATTTCGCTGTTCTTCACTGACATCTTTTGTGGTGACTGCAAATGCGAAACACTTGCCACTTCGGAACGTCTCAGATCGTTACTATTGTCTGAGGAGCAGTTTCGTCCCTAGCAGCTTTAGAACCAACAAGAACCGTTTAGGGGTTCGGGTGGCTGGTCCGTCTCCACAGAACCT